TACCGAATACATCACTGCATTTCTAAAACTGAACAAAATCTGGAACTCAAAATAAATATCAGCCGATACCAAAGTCAGAATTCTTAATACAATTTTCAAGACGGTTCTAATGTGTGGGGCAGAATTTTCAAGAAACAAGAAGGCCATCATCCACAAGATATAGGCATTTATCAACAGTTTTCTACATAGGATATTGCAGACCCGTTGGCCAGAAACTATTAGCAGTAACCTACTGTGGAAGAGAACAAGTCAGATTCCAGAGGAAGTAGAAATCGGAAAGAAGCGCTGGAAGTAGATAGGACATACATCGATGAGAGCACTCAACTGCATTAGAAGGGAAGCCCTCACTCGGTATCCTGAGGGTCAAAGGAACATTATGCCAAGAAACGGAGACGGACGTGAGAAGAATGAACAAAATTCGGACAGACGTGAGAAGGAAAGCTGAGGAGAGAGTAGGTCGGAGAATGATTGTCGGTGGCCTATTCTCCGTTAAGAGTAACAGGTGTAGGTAAATAAGTAAGTAACATCACTTTCAACTGTGTCCGTAGAGTATTCTCTGACTTCACTGCGGGTTTGCATGTGACCACAAGGGTGTGAATTTGAAAATTCTGGGTATTGCTGGTCTGCATATGGACTTCGACCATTTCTAATCATAATGTAATAGTCAGGGAAAGTCACGCTGAATAGCCTACCCCGGCACTTAGAGAAATTTAGCAACTGATCAAGGACGTTTCAAAAATAGAAATTGCAGGTGCTAGCACTATCACTTCTGGTTATAAATTCCTAAGTTTTAGGTATGTCGGCGAAACTTTGTAGTCATTCGCGTTAGACCCTAAAGTAAAATTCATTAGGCATAGTCCTGTATCTTGGGATGAGTTAAAGAGAATAAATTCTTTATTGTTTGCACTCTCGTACTTGCAACGTATTCTTGGATTCAACATACAATCGTCAATATCTTCATCACAAGGTAAAATAAAGTAATTAATTTCTTTACCCTCGATTCTTGTCCTTTTTACCAGGTCGGAGATCAGTTAGTTGCAAAAGTGAGAATAATAAGGAGAAAATTATAATGCTAATAAGGCGATTTCAGATCTCAGTAAGTAAATGGATAACTGATAAAGAAGTTTGTGTAGGCAAGGAGGAGATAATAAGGAAGATAGATTATGCTAGTGATCTGCAGAAATGCCAGTAATAACAACTAGCAAATTTCGAGACATGCATCAAGTACAGCTGTTCCATGAAGGAGATGGTGACCCGTATGTTAGTACCTTTTTATCAAGTTTCTTCTTAGAGTTATTCACTGAGGGAGTTGTGGTCACCTCGGCTGGGAGAGAATTCCAAGCTGCAACAACTCTTAATGAGAATATGTGTGCACGAACCCGGGTGTTCTCTCTTCGATGTACAATTTTCGGAGGATGACTTCGAGGGGTTTAGTTATGATGTTTTGTTAAGATGAACATATTGGGATGACTTGGCGTACTTAATATGTTGTGCGCCATCATCAGATCATCTCTGATTCCCCTATAACTCAGAAAGAATAATTGGGAGTGCTGAAGTCTTTCTTCCCAAGGTTTATTCTTCAACCCTAGTACCCATTTTGTCGCTCATCTCTGCACTCGATACAAGAGATTTACATATTTTTAAAGCATATGTGACAACAAGAACCAGAAGGTGTGGGCTTTTGAGTGTTCTTAAGTGTTAGAAAAGATTCTGGAGTGAATGCACCTAGTTGTCTTCGAATAAAGTGAGAGTTGCGTTAGCACTGAGTGCATCCCCTATGTAGATTGAACCGGTATGTAGGCTGTCTTTGATATTGAAACTGAGATCGCGCTTTGAGGGGACATTAGAGAGCAGACTCCCTTTGAGGGTGTAAGATGTTTGTATCATATGGGTAAAAATCTTCATAACGTAACATTTCGACTGTTTAAGCTTTGACTCCTTTTCTAAGTCCATTTCCTCGGTTGATTCCTCTGAAGCTCGGTTGGATTCTCTTCACCTGTTATGAACCTCCAGATCTATGCATCGTCAGCGCTGCTGCACGGGTAGGTTTACCCAAAAGGCAATTAATTAATGTAGATTTATTTCGACAGTGGCTGTCCCAATTGTTTCCTATAGAAACACTCCTGTACGTTCCTCCTAGTTCCGGGTCCCGACCAAATCAAAAAGGGCAAAATTCTAGGAGAAAACGTCTGGAATTTGTGTTTCTTCCAGGGTTAAATTACTCCGCAGAGTATCCAACACAATAGCCGATAAGTGAAGCTAAGTCCAGCAGCCACCGCGTCCGTCCAAAAATGTGGCGGTAGCCATATTATATCAGATTTAAACAATATATGTACAGTTCAGAAGCAAACACAAAAACTTCAATATAAGTACAAAATATAGAAAGAATAACAACATACAATGATAAAATCTCAAATTGGAATCAAATAAAATACCAAAAATGTCAAGAGAAAAAGTCCATCATGTCATAGCAAAAATATGTAAACATGGAGGGATTTTCCAAAAAACAAAACATTCAAAAAGAATTCTACAATTAATATAATAAAGAGGAGTGTATCTAAGATTATCCCCTGTTAAACTCTCGATGTCGAGACTCGCCTGCTCTCATACGTTCTATTTTGAACGAAACTTGTTGTTCATGAAGTAGTTTCTGAGCTAAGATAAAAGTTTGTCCGTGAAGCCCATCTTCTTAACCTTCGTAAATAGGGGTACGTGAGGTACTGTGTCAAAAGCTTTTTCAAAATGAAGGAATATTATATAAATCAGTATTTTTCGGTCCCAGAAGTTTGCTCAGCTGTCAAGTGTTACAAGAAGGTTGGACGCACATAACATACTGTTCCGAAAACCGTGTTGAGCTTCATGCAGGAACTTTTTATTCTCCATTTACTCCCTTGTTTTCTCATTCACCATCCCTTCCGTTCCTACAACAGTATCGGTAGTAATGCTACCGGTCTGTAGCCGGCTGGGTCCTTCCTACCTTCTTACTTAAAGGTTGGAGAGGGTAGCCCGTTTCCATACATCTGGTAGTTGGTATGACTGAAGTAAATTCCCGAATGGGTCACATACCGGCGAACTGAGGGCTTCTTCAGACTTTTTCAAGTCGATGGGGCGAATATTGTTACATCCTAGTGGCCTTCCTGGGCGCAAGGATTATAGTTTTCTTTTTACTAAGTAAGGAGTCTTTCTATTATTCCGTAGGCCATCAGCTGGAACTAAATTTGAGTAGTGCTCTAAACTTGTAGATACCTCGTCTAACTGATCGGTGAAGTTGGCATTAAACAAATCGGTCATCTCTAAGTTAGGAAGATTTTCCCAATTTGGACTTGTGAGAGCACACACAATCTGGTTTTTTTGTGTTAATGAACCTAGTCAGATATTTTGGATTTGCCTGTATTCCGGCTTTTAGCTTCGTTTGAAAGTATCTGTTTCTCAAAATGAAGTAGTGACTACGGCTTGAATACTTGAAACTGACCTTCCACTTGTTTCAAACATTTTTTTGCCTGAAGTCCTTGTATAGCAAAGGTAGGGCTCATTCACCTGCTCTTTAGTATTTCACTTATGACTATTTTAAACATCACTAAGCCATGGTCCCTAATTATTGTTGATGTGTGGACATGAACATCCTCTGCTAGGAGCTGATAATTTGTTAAAAAATAGTTTAAGTTTCAGGGTTTTCCAATCTTGTTTCATCTAGTAGCGTTGAAAATATGCTCAGTCAGTCCTTGACTTTTAACGAATATACCAAGTAGCATTTAGGAGCAATCCCCATCATTTGTACACTGTCTGCCGAGATTTAGAGATGGGGTGTTGAAATATCCATTAAAAATTTTGTGATCTAACCCCAGTTTTGGTAGTTGCAGTAAACCTATCTTTCTGAGCCTTAGTACTTGAAAGATTTCGACAAATCCCTCCAATCATGATTTTGTGCCATTTATGTTGGAGCAGCAGCAGCACGATTCTGTCAGGCTAGTTAGTTAAGTGCTGTGCAGCGTTAAGACTTGAAATGGTTGTCAGCATATCTTCAGTTCTTCTCCTGTTCTTTGTACCCTATCGCATTGAAAGTGACAAGCCTTGCATCCTCACTTTATTGTCTTCAACGTCGGAGGATAGCTGTATTCCAGTTTGGATAATGACCCTCAAATCCATATGTTAGCACATATCCTGATAACCAACAGCTTACCCGTCAGTCCTCTTACATTGCTAGTTGGCTCTCACAACATATAATGTCACTAGAGAGTTCGTTATTCATGCTGTACTAAATCTGAGGCGCCTCAGTTGAGTCCTCCCGATTCACGAAGTTGATCGAGACAGCTAAACATACAGTTGTTTCAAATTGGAATGATTATATTTGTACGAATAGTTACTTTTACTGCCTATCAATGAGTGAAAATAAAAACTATATCCCCTAGAATCTTTGAATACCCGAATGTGGTGTCTAAAGCCAGAATCTTTGCAATTAATTACAGTAGGTCAGTGAGGATACGTCAATTTCGAAAAGTGTGAGTTTAGTTCCTTATTGAGAAACTGGAATAATAAAAGGTTTTCTTCCGATGAGACTGTGATTGAGCACAGAAGAAGACTTCAAGTAGTTTGAGTTTTGGATTTCTTAAAATCCAGAACGGAAATGTGACAGCTGCCAATACAGAGAAACCCTATGGTCCTGAGAAAAACTCACTCATGCAAACCACGGAACATACAAATTCATACATAACTGGCTAGAATTAGTGAATTCAAGTAGCTTGACTACCATAAATAGGAAGTCAAAACATATCTAGAACCATATTGAAAGAACATGAATCGAGAGAAGAGGAAATTAATTAGTTTATACTAGCGCGCAAAAGTATGTCGGGTATTAGATATTTGAATACATACCGTGTTATCGCTTGACTTGAAAGGAACATAAAATAACTAAAACAAGGCAGCAATTGCCTTTTAGATTCGACGCATCTGTTCTCCAGAAATAAAATTTTATTCGCATTCTTGTTTATTCCCATAGACAGGGTACATGTAGCTATGATTTCAGATGGCGGTTTTTGAAATATATCGATGCCCAATACTCAGGGAAATACACTTCCCATTTTTTCATATTGGAACGTTGTTCCAGTTGATTATAACTATATCCTCTCTTATAGTTCCTTTTTTCGTATGCTACCGTTCAGGAGGTGAGCTATTTAAGGTGTTTAGCTAGTCAGCGGAACTAATAACTTGTTAATTTTCTATTCAAGCTTTAATAATTTAAATTTTTAAGAAATATTTTATCCTTATGACTTCGATATTTGTAAATTACTTTTCAGATGCATTGGTTGACTGCTTGATCCTTAATTATCGAACTTTCAGGTCGCACGACTTACTTTTGTAATGGTCACGTGTACAAACATGCATTTACGAATTTGTGTGTACCACAGCCAGTGGCATATGAGTTCATCATAGAAATAATGGATATTGTACACCATCTTAGTCTTTTAAAACCGTGGGGGTTTATCAATCTTCAGAACGATGACCAAAATTGATGAAGTTACGATTACTGGAGATCATGTCTTCTATCTTAACGAGTTGTTTATTCAGAACCTCATCCTTTAGTACTGGAGCTACTGTGTAAATAAGGCTACAAAATCAGCACCCACATGCAAAGGTTTGGCTTTTCTATCTGAAAATATCACTAATTATAGAGTTTCACGTACATCTTTAGAAAGCAGTTTAAAGTAGTGGCACAATGTAAAGGATTTTTCTTAGTTCGCCAATGACTTCTACAGCTAAGCCTTCAGTCTTCAGAAGCAGTAACACATTATTAAGCGACATCTATTTATATTTAATATTTGTGGTACTACAATTTAGAATGTATTGATGGGAGGAGCTAATATCATGTGTTACAGAGAAGATTTCCAATAACTCAGTACTGAATCGAAAAAACGAAGATCTAGAATTGGAAGATTTCGCTTTTGTTTTTAAACTTTCTGCGGATGTTCTCTCAAATGACTGGTCATAGATGAAACGAAAAGAGAATACATTAGTGCCCAAATCATCGTTCATTATATGATAAGCCAATATTGAGTCGCCCCATAACCTGCTGTAAGAGGATGAAAGCAAGTTGAAGCGTCTCAGTATTCCTTCATAATTGAGGTCTGACAAAGCTTACAAAACTATGACTCCTCGCTGTCAGACCTGTCCCAACGTGTCCACTTCCTTCTTAGATCTGGTACTCTAAATATGGTCTTACAAAGATTGTATGTAATACACTAAAAACTGCTTAACATAAATGACAAATTATTTACAAATAGCCAGCCATCCCTCAGAGTCTTTGACAGCTGTCAAATCATGGTTAACAGTCTTAAGGTCTTTAGCAATTATCCGTTCTAAATCTTTACAATCGCCTTTGGGAATATCACTCCCTTTGTTGTGCGCTAGATATAACCTTATCTTCGTCCGACGTTTCAGTAGTAGACTTTCTACCAGGTGGCTCGCTTATTGACTTAGAATATGCCGATGACATAGTCCTATTTGATGAAGGTACTGACAAAATGCAGAGTCTTCTGAATACCCTAAGCAACAATGCAAGCATGTTCGGGATGCGGTTTTCACCCTCGAAATGCAAAATGTTGCTTCAGGATTGGGTTTCATCGGCAATTGAACTAGTGATAGGGAGTGAAGTAGTCGAACGTGTAGACCGCTTCATGTATCTGGGGAGTCTCACTAGTGCTGATGGTCTGGTGATTGACGAAATCTCAGCTCGGATACAGAAGGATCGATTGGCTATTGCCAACTTGGGTCACCTATGGCACAGGCGAGATATCCGCTTGCTAGCCAACGGACGAGTGTACTGTGCAGCAGTTCGCCCCATCCTACTATATGGCTGTGAAACATGGCCGTTAAGTGTAGATGTTCGTAGGTTACTAGTCTTCGATCATCGGTGTCTCCGAAGCATTGCTCATGTATCCTGGGACAACCGTATAAGCAATGCTATCGTTAGGAAACGAGTTCTAGGTAAGGATGGCAAGTCAATAGATGAAGTAGTGAAACTTCATCAGTTGAGGTGGTTGGGACATGTGTTGCGTATACCTAACCACCGACTACCTCCACGAGCTATGTCTTGCGGTGTAGGGGTAGGTTGGAAGAAAGTTAGGGGCGGCCAGACCAAAACATGGCAGAAATTCATGAATTCACTGACAAGTGGACTGTATCATACTGGTAGATCTAGGCTACCTGGTTGGGGTCACCGTGACTAAAGTCACGAATGGTTAGAGACGTTGAACGATATGGCTCAAAACCGTTTGCAATGGCGCAGATGCATCCCTTCTTTGTGTGCCTTTTAATTCTAACCTTCTGAATCCCTCATAATCTATGTCTTTCTCCTTCTAAATTTATCTCACTGAATTATACTTTTCGAATCATATCTTCGAACTATAATCTTCCCCATTACTGCTAATACTTCTACTATCGCTATCACTCTTGAATTTCAACTGACAGTTGCGTCTCTGTGTTGATGTGATATGGCAAGCTGAATTGATGTACTTTTGTACGAAGTTCTGTGTTGTATCTGTCTATCTGTCTGCTGTGTAGCTGTGTACATTATCGTAATGACTGATTAGCATTGCTACTTTCATGCTGAAATTTGTTCCAAATAACCACTTATTCTTCAATGTTTTCTGTAATCTCGTCTTATCTACTATGAATCTTAGCAGTGTATAACAAGTGATTTTGTAAAACTGGGTAGATCACTTACGTAATATAAAGAATGAAGACGACTTAGGATCAACCCTTGGGAAACTCCACTATTTACAGATCATAAGAAAACGTTTGTTCTTACTATTTGTCTTCAGTCACTGAGAAAGCCAATAATCTAATCTTTAACTTGTAGATGTTCGAGTCAAAATACTATGAACACGTCTATAAACCAAATAAGTTTGGGTCCCGAGTGTTACCTCAGTTCTTTTATCGAAAAGACGAATGCGGATTGACCTGATGGAATAAGTTTGTCTGTTGGTAATTTCGTTGTGTTTAAAGAGTACCAAAACGTGCCAGAGAATTAAGTGAAAATACAGAACAGCAAAATCAAGATGGCGACCAACCAGTCGAGAAACGCATTACAAAAGTACGACTCAACTAAAATGTTCGGTGGAACGTTCATTGGCAAAATAGCCTATAATAATGAAAGTTGCTATTTAACCAATCGTGTTTTCCTTCGTAAAAGTGAAATCACTACAAGCTCTATGAGTGATTCAAAATTTTTATAGTTTTCGTTTAAGACTGAGGTGAAAGACTTTTTGAAGAAACATTTTTTATCAGCTACATAAAAATTACATCTATTATGATTTCGTTGATAGTTTAAGCGTTAAATACATTTAAGTTTGAGTTTGCCCAACACGAGCTACACTGCTCACTTGGAGATAAATAGTACACCAATCCAATTTGAGCTTTACTTGCTGCTTTTCAAGATTGTGGTTGTGCTTTACATTGTCCAGATTACAATTGTTTTTCCGACTAACCATAGACTATACACTTAAATATTTAGCGTCTTTAAGTTAACAAACTTTAAATTCGAGGCAATTAGATTAGGAAGCACAATCGTATCTCTGACATTTTTATCATCGGTAAACAAACGTGATCGATGTTGAGTTGGTTATATATATAATACTGACCAGAGTGCATAGCCTATCGTGATGACCCAACCGAGCTATATTGGGTCGAACTTACGTTCCTGAAGGTTCTACCATGCCAGCCAGGTCGATTGGAGAACGATGAGACTAAAAGCAGCAGCTACCCAAGGTCTGAGGGCGAAGTCATACTGCTGACTGTGATGGAGGGGTGCGACAGCAATAAGGTGTTTCCCTCGGACAACCAGCATCTGCAGCGATGCTGTCTTCTCACAAGGAAGGAAGGGGTTAGAAAAGGTCGACCCTAAAAATGTCACACCTCACCCTACCTCACGGATTTCCGTTTCCGGTGGTAAGGGTGCCCACTAAGGGCTTTGAAGAGAGGGGTTAGCACTCAAAAAACTTCTCATAAAAAGGCCGTGCGTGACCGGCCTGAAGCAGTTGTCCTTTGGGCTCTGTGATCACGCACCCAGGTCTCTAAGACCAACTGTGATCTATCTTCCTTTTCAGGTCCCTTAAGAAACAACCTCCCACGGTGTGGGCAGTCGGGAAGTGACAACCTCCCTCATACTCGTAACAGCACACGTAACAGAGTGCATAATTCCAAAGAGTCATTAAATGTTTTTCGATCATTGAAACATTTCCAAAATAATTTTCGTTTCATCCAACCATTATTAAAATATATAATTTTTTTAATTTATTCAAGGATTTTGGTTACAAGATTCAATTTACATTGAACAACCACAAATACGTTTCTTAAAACAAGTTTATATTGAATTAAAAGGATCCAATCAAACAATTTACACATGGAGTACATATACCGATTTAAATAGTCAATTATCTACAAATTTAATTATTCCACATATGTCTATTCAACAATTAGATGATAACTATGATGGAATTTTTGATAAATTACAGTTAAAATTTAAAATTCCAATTGAAGATCAAATCAGTAGTTTGTATATATTACTTTTATTTAGTTATCAATTGAAAGTAAGTGAAAAAAGTTACCCTTTTTTTTGAACTTGAGAAATTTCAATAAATCTTTTACAGAACTAAATATATTTAGATGATGGCCAGTGGTGGAATTCAATATGTTTAACGTGTCTCAAACAGCTATAACCTAGAGCTTTGTACGCTTGTGCATCATTTCAAGGTCATGAGGAATTCAGAAATTTAGAATTTAAGAGAAGGCATATAGTGGGTGCACCTGTGCCATTTAGAATGATTTTGAGCCATGTCATTCAAGGTCCCTGACAATAGGTTGTTACTGTCTCGTAGGCCCCAACCCGGTAGTTTACATCTACCAAAATGGCTCACTCAACTAGTCAGTAACTTCATGGATTAGTGACATGTTTTGATTCGGCTGCCCCTAGCTTTCTTCCGACCCACTCCTACCTTACAAAGCACCGCTAGTTGAGGTAGTCGGTGGCGGTTGCACAAAGGTGAAACATGTTAGAAACACCTTAACTGATAAAGGTTCAATACTTCATCAGTTGATTTGCCACACTCACTTGGTACCCGATTCTTAACTTCAACATCGCTTACTCGATGGTCCCAGGATATACGGGCAGTGCTTCAAAGACGCCTATGATCGAATACTAGCAATCTACGAATATCCTCTACTCTTTACTGTCCATGTTTCACAGCTATGAGCTAGGAAGGAGTACCCGTACTTTGGTTGATAGACGGATATCTCACCTTCATCAAATATGACGCAAGTTGAAAAAAGCCCAGTTGAGCCATCTGTAACCGTGCTGAGATTTAGTCATACACTAGGGCATCAGCACCGGCGAGACTCCTGAGATAAATGAAGCGGTCAACATGCTCAACTGCTCCACTTCCTATAACTGGTCCAGGTGCAGACGCAAGTCAGTCCCAAGGTATTTCCAAGGGAGAGAATTGTATACCAAACATGCTGGCACTGCTACTTAAGGTGTCCAGAAGACTCTGCATTTTGTCAGCGACTTCACTACTTACAACGTGGGTTCAGAGTAGCAGGCAGTGGATTATCGCCCACAACTTATTATCTGGAAAAAAAAGTGTGTCGGATCCGAATGTATGGCGCTGTCATAGTGTTTTGAAGAATAGAAGACATTTTAAAGAAGACAACCAATAATCTGAACGTTTTGCAAGTCCGAAGTAAGGGTGCACACATTTTGTGAGTAAATAGTATCTTCATCCCTAATCGTAGCTGCTACCTTGGCGTGATGGTCGGGCTTGTCTATAGTGATGACCCAACCGAGCTATGCTGGCTGGGACCTATATTCCTGTTGGTTCTACCATGCCAGGCAGATTGACTGCAGAACGGTAAGACTAAAAACAGCAACTCACTTTCTGGGAGCGAAGTCGTACCACTGACTTTAGAGAGGTGTGACGGCAGTAATGTGTTTCCCTCGGACCACCAGCATTCGCAGCAGTGCTTCCCTCCGCAACAATGGGAAGTGGTTAGAAAAGGTCGACCCTTGAAATGTCACGGTTGTCCATTTCCCGCATACTTATTCAACTTAGTCATCGACATGCTTTCAGAGATAACAGTATTCGTCTGAATTTTCAGTAGTTAAAATTTTAGCGGGAGATTTACTTCGACTTAGAATATGCTGATGACATAGCTCCACTTGGTGAAGACGCTGAAAAAATGCAGTCTTCTGGACACCTTAAGCAGCAGTGCCAGCATGTTCGGGATACGATTCTCCTCCTCGGAAATACCTCGGGGTTGGCTTGCGTCTGCACCTGGACCAGTTATAGGAAGTGGAGCGGTTGAGCGTGTTGACCGCTCCACTAATTTTGGGAGTCTCGCCGGTGCTGATGGCATAGTGTATGACTAAATCTCAGCACGGTTACAGAAGGCTCAACTGGCTTTTTTCAACTTGCATCATATGTGATTAAGGTGAGATATTCGTTTATCAACCAAAGTAAGGGTTGAAGTTAAGAATCGGGTACCAGGTGAGTGTGGCAAATGACGAAGTAATGACCCTTCATGAGTTATGATGGTTGTGATATGTTACACGTATGTGCCACCACCGACTACCTCAAAGAGCGATATTTTGTGAGGTAGGATTAGGTCGGAAGAAAGCTAGGGGCAGCCGAATCAAAACATGTCACAAATCCATGAATTCACTGACTAGTGGACTGAGATATGTTGTTAGGTGTATACTACCAGGATGGGGTGGGCTAGACAATGGTGACATAGTTAGAGACTTTGAATGACGTAGCTCAAAATCGTTCCAAGCGACGCAGGTGCATCCATTCTTTGTCTTCTCTGAAATTCTGAATTTTTGAATTCCTCATCACCTTTATCTTACTTTTCTGATAATTATTTCCCTGGATTAAACTCCATGAATAATATTTGCAAAAACCTAATCTTTCCAGTTACTACTCATATTTCCACTACATCTCTATCACTATGGGAATCGAAGCAACAATAATCGCGTCTGTGCGCTAATGTGGTATATGACAACTTGGACCGATGTATGTACGTCACAAGTTCCAAGTGATCGCTGACTGACTGTGTCTTCTTCAAATAGATGTCGTCATTCAATACACCAGAAGCTTTGACTTCAAACCATAATGTGTTAATCACTTACCTTTTTAAATGCAGACAGCTACTGGCTTGTACAGTGGAATAAGGTTTGGATTTTTCGAATCTTTCCAAATGATATTCATGACTGTTAACCGGCTTTTAACTTGGTAGTAGTATCGAGATAATCCGTACAGGATGCATATATATGTTAAAAGACACTAATCAATCAGTTACAACGTAGAAATTCGTACATACGTTCAGGTTGCCATACCACAATGGCACAGAGACGCAATTGTCAATTCAAATCCTATAGTAGTTGAGACAGTAGTAATAGAGACGATTAGGGTTGGAAGATGTTGTTCAAGAAGTATAGTTCAGTGAGATCATGGACTGCGGTAATTGCAGTTGTAAGCAGAAATGGAAAAGTTCAAAGAACCAATAAAAATAAGTCAACTGTATTTTTGTCAGGATATTCATCCAATTTCCTAAGAGAATAATTGGTCAAATCCTATTTGTCGATTTCTATTGGTCAAAATTATGGTCGTTTTTACTATCAAAGTTAAATACTTCAATGTTGTCTCTTATCGGTCATCCGGACTGTCAATATCATTTCAAATGTTCTTTCTTATTGGTTGTCCTGACTATCAATGTCACTTCAAATGTTACTTCCTATTGGTCGTCTGAACTGTCAATGTCACAGACTTCGAAGCTGTTTCCTATTCGACCAAAATGTATAAATACGCATTATCTGTAACATTTTATGACCACGACCAGGACCAGGGCTCGGTCCCGGATCCCTAGTCCGGGATCCTGATTCTCTTCTGGATTCGGACCTCGTACTTTCTGGATGCTTGTAGAATACAGATTCTACTTCATGTGACGTCCTCTTATTTTTACTAAATATGGGGGGTTGGGATAATCGGATTTCAGTAGCCTGTCATGTCGCCGGATCCTCGATCGTCGCTCTCATTTTCCGACTAGGTAAACCCGTAATAGTTAAAGTTGACGTGTTTACGTGCAGGCGTAACAATTTTGTTGAAGCCTCATGAGAATTTTCACGCTCTCTCAGTCGTGGATGTTCACTACTGATATAAGTCTCTTATTAAGATGAAATAACCGTCCATTGCTTTCAGGTTTACAATGGTACTCTAAAATGTATCAGTTCATGATTTAAAATCAAATAAATTTCAGCTCTTTAGTTAATGAGAATTACTTTAATTTTGTTAAAATCATGTTTACTATTGAAAAAAATTGGCCATTCAGGCTAATTCAAATTTGTAATAGTGTGCAGATTGATGAAAATTGACTGATTCAGTATGATGTATGCATCTCACAAGGTGGCATATAAGCATTATGATGCTAAGCATTTCTCAGAAGTTGCTACTAAAGAGGAAGTGTCTGGAGAGCTATCCTTTTTGGAAAAGTCTCTAGAGGCCCAGAAACTCCACGAAACGTTTTCCTAAATCCTTTCATCATTCACTAGAAACTTCACAGAAACATCTGGGAAATACAGAACCATGTGCCACAACTATTGTAGTGAAGGAGAACACAGGTGAGGGCAACCGGATTGTATTTATCGCAAATTACAGAGTTACTCAGTAAAATAGGAAAACCATATCGTAAACGGTTAATTTGCAAATCTTCAATCCATCATCAATCCATTGTCTGGCATTTCACTATTCATGCGTTTCATACAAATTCCATTGTGTTCCCACTCTTCCTTTCTTGATCTTCCCCCATCTTCCGCTGCCAGACATTACGTTTTCACTCGCGTCATATACTACTTATAAGTAACGTGCACCACACTATGACTAAATGTTTAGCCATACCGCTCCTATGTGTGCAGCTGGTTTCCACAAAACTTCTATTAGCCTAAGATCATGTGTAACCGATCCTTCTAGTACTTTGTGCTTTCACTCTGGTGCTCACCTGACCGTGTAGATTGATTCTCGGTTTATTGATCAATTGAATTCGTCATATTTGATCAATATCTAATTTGTTGATTAATTTTAGGAACGTTTGAATTTGTTGATGCAAACTCCACTGACTATTCAATTTGATACACCGGATTCGCTGGGATTTTACAAATATTCTCTATATGGACAATTATCATTGTATCAAAGAGAACCTTTACTTGAAAGTTACGTGAATACAATTTATAATGTAAGTTTTATTAAATAAAAAAAAGATTGGTTTGTTTTTACTTTTCGAAAAATAAATGTACTGAATTTAAGTCGAAAAATTGTGATAAAGAAACGCATTAGAGCTATGGAAGAATGAGAAGTTGAACACATCGTTTTTTTGCTAACTACTTCAACTTTCACAGATACTCATCAGATCCTCCGATACAACACAACATGTACCAACCAAATCATATTTGTTGGAGAACGACATCATTGATGAGCAAGGTGGATTTGATGCAAACGTGACGGTGCAGATTAGTGCGGCAAGCTCAAATTTTCTACCATCGAAGGATATCTCGAACTCAAAACAACTATTAACCAACACCAAAGTCACAATTTTCAATACAAATGTTAAGACAATTCTACTGTGTGAGGTGGAAACTTGGAGAGTCACGAAAGTTATCATCCAGAAGATATAAGTGTTTATTAACACATCTGGTCAAGTTACTGAGGATCCGTTGGCAGGAAACCTTCAACAACAACCCACTGTAGGGGTAACTGACCTAACTAAGTACTACATATGAAATTAAATCAGATCAAATAACATGAAAATCTTCTTACAATTCGCTCTCAAAATTCAAAATGATCTCATATAAACCCAAATTATTGATTCGCAATCCAAATGTCGATTTCTACAGGTGAAGCAGGTACCGATGATTTAACTTTTCACTGTGCACATTTTCACTTATATTCAAGTTTCCGTGTAGATTTAATCTGAAGCTTGTCACAAGTAGCTACAAAATCAAATCAGATCATACCATCTAATTCAAAGAACATTGACAACATATAAAAATCTGACGTAATATTATGATTTTTATTCTTATGTCATTGATAATTGAATTTCCAGTGAACTCGTTTCATTTATGTCTTTTTTATAGCAAAGTAGTGTAATTCTTGTGTTTGAAGACGACATGAAAATGACTGATTCAAGTTAGACACTCACACCGTTTGATGCCAACTCACTTACGGGTTGCATCGGCACCTGAACTAGTGATAGGGAGTGAAGTAGTCGAGCGTGTAGACCGCTTCACTTATCTGGGGAGTCTCATCAGTGCTGATGGCCTGGTGACTGAAGAAATCTCAGCTCGGATACAGAAAGCTCGATAAGCTTTTGCCAAGTTGCGTCACTTATGGCGCAGGCGAGATATCCGCTTGTTAACCAAAGAACGAGTGTACTGCGCAGCAGTTCGCTCTGTCCTACTATGCGGATGCGAAACATGGCCGTTAAGAGTAGAGGACTTCCGTAGGTTAATAACCTTCGATCATCGATGTCTCCGAAGCATTGCTCGTGTATCCTAGGACGACCGAGTAAGCAATGCTGTCGTTAGAAAACGAGTTCTAGGTAAGGATGGCAAATCAATAGATGAACTAGTGAAAGTTCATCAGTTGAGGTGGTTGGGACATGTGTTACGTATGCCTAACCACCGACTGCCTCGAAGAGCTATGTTTCGCAGTGTACGAGTAGGTTGGAAGAAAGTTAGGGGCGACCAGACCAAAACATGGCAGAAATGATTGAAGTCACTCATTGACAAGTGGACTGAGTCATGTTAGTAGATGTAGACTACCTGGTTGGAGTCCGCGAGACAAAAGTCACCAATGGTTAGAGGCGAATGACATGGTTCAGAATCGTTTGCAATGGCTCAGGTGCATCCATTCTTTGTGTTCTATGGAATTCTAAGCTTCTGCATTCCTCATAATCTCTACCTTTCTCCTTCTAAATTTACCTCACTGAATTATACTTATCGAATCATATCTTCGAACCCTAATCTTCTCCATTACTGCTAATAATTCTACTATCACCATCACTCTTGGATTTGAACTGATAGTTACGTCTCTGTGCTGACCTGGTACGGCAACCTGAACTGATGTACTTATGTTCGAAGTTGTGTGTTGTATCTGTCTGTCTGTCTGTCTATATGTCTTTGCCGACTCAGTGGTCTAGAGGTTAAGCATTCGGTAGTCAGACCGAAGGCCCTTGGTTCGATTCCCTCGTGCGGATTGTGGATACTCACTGCTAATAACGATAGTAATGCAAGATCTCAATAATATTACTACATAATGATAGTTTCTTTCAGTACATCTCATCATCATCAGCATCATTTTATTTTCCGATTTATTTAGAATTCAATTGTCAATAATGAACAGCATAAAATTAGGGATCTTCAACCGGAAGCAATTCAACAATTTTTAAATAAACGACATGGTAAGTAGATAGATGTATTAAAGGTTAAAATAATTTATTGAACACTGAACGAGATAAAATTCTGACATTTATTTAAATGGAGGTTTTTTTTGAAAACTAGTTTTATTTGCAGGATGATTTTGTCACTGATATGATTTCAAATTGAGATATCATTAGAAACCAGGTAACGACAGACAGTTACTTGGTTCTATGGTATGAAACTTCAGTGATATTCACCAACAACTACACCTAAGATTAAGCACATGATCTCGCCTGTTTCCTGGTCAGCACTTAAGAGAAGAAATTTATGCGATGAAAGGGAAAATAGAAACTTGTCAGTCATGGGCAACACGTTGAATTTTGCGTCTTTAAATATTAAATTGGGATAGACTTCTCGAATCATATCTTCAGTTCCTACTCTTTTCGATTACTACTAATACTGCGACTACTACTGTGGTGCGCGCTACTTATAAGTAGTATATGACGTGAGTGTAAACGTAGTGTTTGGCAGCAGAAGATGGGGGAAGATCAAGAAAGGAAGAGTGGGAACACAATGGAATTTGTATGAAACGCATGAATAGTGAAATGCCAGACAATGGATTGATGATGGATTGAAGATTTGCAAATTAACCGTTTACGATATGGTTTTCCTATTTTACTGAGTAACTCTGTAATTTTCGTTAAATGCAATTCGGTTGCCCTCACCTGTGTTCTCCTTCACTACACTACTACTCCTACCACTATGGGATGTAAATTGACAATGCCATCTGTCTCTGCTAATGTTAGCATGGCAACTTGAACTGTTGTACAACTGACTGCTTAAAGTCGTAATACCCGATGTATCATTTTAAAATTCAAGATTTTATTAGAGACCAAGAGTGACTGCACTTGTACCATTCAGATTCATTCGTTATATGTGACCAACCATAGTTCACGATAATCCGTTGGACTTCAACAGCTTAGTTCAACAGTTAATATTTTCATGGAATAATAAAATGTTTTGAATCGGCCTGTTGGGGATGTTAGTTCTCCAGAACTTGCTTGATAAATGCCTTATTTTGGATTTCACGTTTGCCAGCATGGGCTGATCAGTTGACCTTGAGATTTCATTTCCCACCAGGAAAATTCATGGCTGTGATTGGCTGCTGTGTATTTTAGTGTGTTATTTTTGTGACTGTCCCTAGGACGTTTCTATAATGTATAAATAAACGAGAGTTGTGTGCCTCATTGCATTGTGATTGCTGGTTGTTTGTAAAATATACTTTCTACGCTCATCAGGACTTCTGTTTTGCAGTTTGGGATTCAAGGTTGCCTACTTGGACGCTGGTAATTGTCTCGTTCACGTTTATCGACTAAGGTGAACTCGTAATAGCTTCAAGAGTACCTAGTGACAAACGTAACATGGCCACTCCTAAATTTCTTCTAATTAACCTATAAAACTTTTCAATTGATGATAGGCTATTTATAAATGTTTCAACACTATTAGTTAAACAGGTTATAATTTTGTCTAACTCATAAACTTTACAATGAAATCGTGAATCAGTCATTGTCAGACCACCATTAGAAACTTGGAAGCGTTGGACAACCGTTTTCCTCTAGTATGGGACTCTTCAGCTGTACGCATCTACGACCTCTGCTCGCGGAAATTGAACACAGGACCTTCGGTCATTCACGCGAACGCTTAACATCTAGACCACTGAACCGGTGTGGTTCGACTGTGTAAATGTCTAACTTTGGTCTGTATAAGGTTTCGCGCAACCTCACCCATTGTATTCGGTATTTAATGCCTACATTCGACATGGTTGAACTTCACTGGTCACGGCTTCTCACTAGAACTCGGTCCTCATGAAGCTAGTCAGTAGTGAGCACATTTTATGATTCTCCCTGAATTATTGGTTGTTAGAGGTCATTGTCACGTGCGAGTTTGGAGGTCCTGGGTTCAATTCCAGGTAGCGGTTGTCATGGATGCTCACCACTGAAGAGTCTCATACTGGGAAGAAGTGGCCTTCCAGTGAATCTAAGTTTCTCATGGTGTTCTCATGATGATTGGTACACGATTTCAGCAATCTTCATAACTCTACAATGAAAAATCCTAAATCTTAACAAGTGTTTGTTGTCAATAAATAGAAACAAATAATTCTCAATATTTTGTGGCATTTTTATGATGGTTTCCCGTTTAAAGAGTAATTAGTTTGTAATTTTTCTGCTTTGTATTTCAGTAACATTGAAAATTGATCCAAAATATGAAACTTGGACAATGGGTTCTGCGAGTTACTTAGATCCATTGATGTTAAATTTAACTTTATTCTATAAACCGACCAAAGTATGGTATCCTTTTCCTGTTAATCTGATTAATTTTAAAAAAAGTATTCATTAAGCTGATTGAAGCTTCAGGGAACTAACTGCTCCATCAGGGGTTCAAACTGGCGTCACTTAGGTACAGAATCTGGTATGTTATATGCAGAATAATCAATTAATAACCTGTACAGCATGGTATATTAGTCACTACTTAAAAATCAGTCAGTAGTAGTTAATTTGCTTAAGTACTCATTATTAATTGACTTATATGATCAAGTACAGATGTGTTTACTCGGTTTTGAGTCAAATGGTTCTTATATGTGGAGCAGCGTTGGGACATGAAAGGATCGGCTGAATATTTACTGTTCTCGTCAGTGAATCATTAGTTCACACTTTCTGTTTAGCTTAAAATTTCAGTAGTGGTAGTTGACTCATACTGAAAGGCAACAAGATTCCCATATAGAATTCAAACGAAGAGTTTTCAGTTTCATGATTGAATTTGTTATAAACTGAACCAATTAGGGTTGATTGTTAATGAAACACGAACGAGGTCCTTCCTTATTACAGCTGTTACGCATGCACATCAACACGTCAATTTGATATACTTGAACTACTACGTGTTTACCTTAGTCGGGAAACGAGAAAGAGGATCCGGTGACACGGCAGGCTACTCTAATCCGAGTGTCCCAACTCCCATTGAGTGAAAGAAGACTTGATATGAAGTAGAACATGTATTGTACAAGCATCCAGAGAGTGTGAGGTCCGAGTCCAGAAGAGAATCAGGATCCCAGACTAAGGATCCGGGTCCAGGTCATACAACGTTACAGATAATGCATATTTATACAGTTAGGTCGAAAAGGAAACAGCATCAAAGTCTGTGATTTGACAGTTAAGACGACCAATAGGAAACGACATTAGAGTAACGTAAATACGTTTGATTAAACAAAAAAGGTATACTTAACTCTTCAATTTATTCATCCATCTTTGTTGTGGTTGCTTGTTTCCTCTAATAGTCTGTTCTCATGTGGGATAGAGATCAGATTGTTTTTAGAATAATTTCTAAATAGATGCTTTTACATTTCATCTAGTTTTCTGAATTAAGAAATTGGTTTGAAAAGTAATTTTTTAGTTCAATTGGTTATGAGTAAATTTTCTTAATGATTCCTATCAACCGTCGGACACTTAGTTATCATGATTATTGATACATGTGCAACTTATGTCAACAGTATTAGTTTATCTGAAGAGATGAATAACATCAGAGAATTCATTACTTACTCTTGTTAACCCTCATGAGGTATAGGCCACCAGCCAGCATTCTCCAACTACAACTGTCCTTCACTCTCTTTTCCTATTCTACCTAATTGCTATGCATTATTTTCATGTCTGTCTCTAATTTTCAGTTTTGTGTGTTCCTTTGTCTGCCTCTTTTCTGTTGATCTTAAAGATTCCGTAGCAGGCTTTATCGTCTGAGACAAACTGTGTGTCCTATCCACTTTCAGCGCTTCTTCCAGATTTATTCCTCCGCTGTAATCCAGTTTGTTCTCTTCCACAGTAGGTCATGATTGGTGGTGTCTGATCAACGAATTTGTAGTATCTTGTGTAGATAACTGTTAATAAACACCTGTATCTTGTCGATAATGGCTTTTGTGGTTCTCCGAATTCCCATTCCTTACAAGAGAACCGTTCTGGTAATTATGACTTCGGTGTCAGCTGACAGAGTTCTTGATGTTCTTCAACTTTAGAAATGTTGCCATTGCTTTACCAATCCGTGTCTCTATATCTGCATCAAATCCACCTTGTTCATCAATGATGCTGCGTATAGGTTTCTACGTCTTCCAAAGCTTCTCCATCAAATGTGATTTAGTTTGTTCATGTTTTGTTGTATTGAAGAATCCTCGTTAGTGCCTTGTGTTTGCTGAGTTTTACTGCTGCAGAGACTGTTGCTACATTGGCCGTCTTTTCGTGTGCTGTTTGCTGTGTGTGAGTGTTGGGGATGTTAGATCCCCGAAATTCGCTTGATAATGCCGTATTTTGGTTTTCACGTTTCGCCAGCATGGGCTGATCAGATGACCTTGAGATTTCAATTCCCACCAGCAAAATCAATGGCTGTGATTGGCTGCAGTGTATTTTAGTATGCTATTTTCTTAACTGTCTCAAGGACGTTGTTATGTTGTATAAATAAACGAGAGTTGTATGCTTGGTTGTTGTGTGATTGCTGGGTGTTTGTAGAATATACTTTCTACGCTTACCAAGACTTCTGTTTTACCGTTTGGATTCAAGGTAGCCTCCCTGGAAGCTGGTAAAAGTCTCGTTCGCGTTTATCGACTAAGGTAACTCGTAATAGCATCAAGCATACTAAGTGACGAACTTATCAGTGGCGACGGGGCTCACAATTCACAATGTCAATTAATCTTGAACAGTTAGAATCTTTACTGGAACGTCAAGGTAAACGATATGAACAGTTCCAGGAACGTATGTTGGAGCTGTTAATGAAACAAATGAATTTGAATCACAGAGGTTTTGCCGATGATTCATATAATCCGCATACAGACTCGATAGTTAATTCCATTCATGAATTTCATTTTGATGGCCTTGCTGGTGTGACTTTCGAGTCTTGGTTTAAGAAGTATGAGGATTTGTTCAAGGTCGACCTCAACAATCTTGATGACGCCACCAAAGTCAGAATCCTTTTGAGAAAGCTCGGCACAATCGAACACGAACGTTATAGTAATTTCATCCTCCCAAAGAACCCACGAGATTTCTCTTTTGATGCTACAATTGATACGCTGTCGCAAATCTTCTCTGAACAGTCATCTCTCTTTAATATTCGTTATCAATGCCTCAAAATAATCAAGTCAAATGAAGATGACTGGGTAAAGCATGCTGGCTTAGTAAATCGTGAATGTGAACGATTTAAATTATCATCAATGACGGAAGATCAGTTTAAGTGCCTTGTGTTTGTGTGCAGCTTACAATCTCCCGACGATGCTGATATAAGAACCAGAATCCTAAGTAAAATTGAACAGTGCCCAAACATCTCGCTTCAAGAAATAACTGCAGAGTGCCAGAGATTAGTAAACTTGAAGCATGATACCTCCATGGTCGAAAACAAGGGCCTCTCATTATACGTGCATTCCATTAGTGAAAAGAAAAATTCCGATTCGGCCCAAAAACCCAAAATGAATCCACTTTCTGCTTGCTGGCACTGCGGTTCATGGCACTATGTACGGAACTGCCCATTTAGGCAGCATAGATGCAGGAAGTGTAAAGTCATCGGTCATAAAGATGGCTTTTGCCTACAGAAAAAGCCAAAGCGATCCAGAAGTGCTAAGAAGCCTGTTCCTAGATCCAGTACCAATGCATTGAGCCTAATATCTTCCTGCCAAAGCTCATCACCAGGTGAGAGGAAATTTATTACTCTTAATATTAACGGTTATTTGTGTAGAATGCAAATAGATACTGCATCTGATGTCACTATCCTCTCACGCGAAAATTGGACCAAATTGGGCAGCCCAAGCCTGCAGCACACAACACAAAAGCCTCGCACAGCATGTGGTAATTATCTTCGTCTATTAGGACAATTGGAATGTAAAGTTGCTTTCCGAGATTCGTCGTTTACTGTAGTATGCTATATAACGCCAGCTGATCTAAATTTACTTGGTTTAGATTGGTTCGACCAGCTAAAATTGGCTGATGTCCCGCTAAATACCATATGCAACCTGGTATCACAACGACATGAACCAGAAGCGTATACGAAGAAGCTCATGACAGAGTTTTCAACCATTTTTGAACCTGGATTAGGTCGGTGCACTGCTATGAAAGCAACACTTCGGTTGAAACATGGGGCTAAGCCTGCTTTTCGTCCAAAGAGACCTGTACCGTATGCTACATTAGCAACAGTAGACGAAGAGCTGGATCGCCTTCAGCGACAAGGAGTTATTACTCCCGTTTCTTACTCCAGTTGGGCAGCACCTATAGTCGTTATCAAGAAGGCCAACGGCACGATACGTATATGTGCTGACTTCTCTACAGGTCTCCACGCAGCTCTAGAACAGCATCATTATCCTCTGCCAGTCCCAGCAGATCTGTTCACTATGCTGAATGGGGGAAAGTTCTTCGCAAAGCTTGACCTAGCTGATGCTTATTTGCAAGTGGAAGTCGATGAAGCATCTAAAGAGCTGCTTACTATCAACACTCATCGTGGTTTGTTCCAGTATAACCGTCTACCTTTTGGAGTTAAGACTGCCCCATCTATCTTCCAACAACTAATGGATACTATCCTGTCAGATATCTCAGGGGTTGCAGCTTATCTCGATGATATCTTGATTGTTGCGAAGACGTTAGAACAGCTACGGGAACGCACGACATTGGTACTACAACGCATCAGTGACAATGGTTTCCGGTTACGCCCAGAAAAATGCCAGTTTCTATTGCAGTCGGTAAAGTATTTGGGATTCATCTTTGATGCCGACGGTCGCAGACCGGATCCTGAAAACATCCGAGCTATCAAACTGATGCCCACTCCCACTAATGTTTCAGAATTACGATCTTTTCTCGGTTTGATCAGTTATTATTCAGCTTTTGTTCCCTCGATGCATGATATTCGCGCTCCATTGAATTGTCTACTGCAGAAGCATAGCACATGGAACTGGACTAAAGAGTGTGACGCGGCTTTTGGTAAACTCAAGTCTGTAATTAGCTCGGAATTGTTATTAACACACTACGATCCATCCATGCCGATCATCGTAGCAGCAGACGCTTCAGCATATGGCCTAGGTGCTGTTATTTCACATCAATTTCCAGACGCGTCGGAAAAAGCCGTTATGCATGCATCCCGTACACTGACCCCAGCAGAAAAGAAGTATAGCCAGATAGAGAAAGAAGCTCTTGCCCTTGTGTTTGCTGTTCGCCGTTTCCATAAGTTTCTGTACGGTCGGAGATTCACGCTCCTCACAGATCACAAGCCTCTGTTAGCAATATTTGGTTCAAAGTCTGGCATTCCAGCCCATTCTGCAAATCGTCTTCAGCGATGGGCCTTGGTACTGTTGGGGTATGATTTCGAAATCCAATATCGACGTACTCTACAATTCGGTCAAGCGGACGCCTTGTCACGACTCATTAATGATCAAGTGGCGGCTGAGGAAAACATGGTGATCGCATCTCTGTCAGTAGAAGACCACGCAGAATGTTATCTGACAACCGCAGTTAGCTCATTACCGGTGTCTGCAACAGACATACAAAATGCTTCTGGAAACGACCCCATCATCAAGATGACGATGAAATATGTCACTAACGGTTGGCCGTCGAAAAAGTTTGAAGGTGACATCAAGCAACTGTATCAGCGGCGGGAATCATTATGCATCGTCAACGATTGTCTGATGTTTGGTGAAAGAGTAGTGGTGCCAGAATCCCTTCGTGCAAAAGTGCTGAGACAGTTCCATCTTGGTCATCCTGGGATTAAACGAATGAAGTCCATAGCCAGGAGTTATGCATACTGGCCTCACATGGGTCAACATGTCACAGCGTTGGTTGAAAAATGCATCCGGTGTCAGCAGGCGGCTAAGATGAATGCCAAAATTCCGCCGGTTTCATGGCCCAAACCTGAGCATCCTTGGTCCAGGATACATGTCGACTTCGCTGGCCCAATAAATGGAACTATGTATTTAATTGTCGTCGACGCCTTTTCTAAATGGCCGGAAATCAGCCCCGTTATGCCGCCCACTACAACTAAGACTATACAGCTCCTAACTGAAATTTTCTCACGGAATGGCATACCAGATGTGATCGTATCCGACAATGGCTCTCAATTCACCTCTTCCCAATTCCAGAATTTCTGTCAACGGCTAGCTATTAAACACTTACGCTCGCCACCATACCACCCGCAATCGAATGGGCAGGCGGTAAGGTTTGTGGATACGTTTAAAAGAGCACTGCTCAAGTCAAAAGGGGAGGGGACGCCAGCCGAAACGTTACAAAATTTCTTGTACGTCTATCGGACAACACCAAATGAATTGTTACCGGAGCAAAAGTCCCCAGCTGAAATCCTGATGGGAAGAAGATTGAAAACGATTCACAGCCTGATGCATCCGACCAATGCACCCTCATCAGTAGGGACAAAGCAGCAAAGACAATCCGCTTACGAGGTGGGATGCCCTGTGTTTGCCCGCGACTACAGAACGAACCATGGTCCTTGGGTAGAAGCGAGAGTGGTCAGAAGGGTTGGTCGAGTTATGTACGAAGTAGAGGTAGGAGGTGATAAATGGTCACGTCATCGCAATCAGATACGCAGACGGCTAGCCCCAGATCGCCCATCAAGAGCAGAAAGCCTTCCCCTTGACATCTTGCTTGATACCTTCAACCTACCAAGAGCCCCGCAACGAGAAGAAACTCAGCAGCAAGCTGTTCTTCGTTCCCGAAGGTATCCCCTCAGACAGCGGCGAACAATAGTCAAGATGCAAGTCGACCCCAGGAGAACAAGCTATTAAAAAGGGGAGGAGTGTTGGGGATGTTAGATCCCCGAAATTCGCTTGATAATGCCGTATTTTGGTTTTCACGTTTCGCCAGCATGGGCTGATCAGATGACCTTGAGATTTCAATTCCCACCAGCAAAATCAATGGCTGTGATTGGCTGCAGTGTATTTTAGTATGCTATTTTCTTAACTGTCTCAAGGACGTTGTTATGTTGTATAAATAAACGAGAGTTGTATGCTTGGTTGTTGTGTGATTGCTGGGTGTTTGTAGAATATACTTTCTACGCTTACCAAGACTTCTGTTTTACCGTTTGGATTCAAGGTAGCCTCCCTGGAAGCTGGTAAAAGTCTCGTTCGCGTTTATCGACTAAGGTAACTCGTAATAGCATCAAGCATACTAAGTGACGAACTTATCAGTGAGGTACAAGAGCTAGGTGATTTGGAAACTCAAATTCACCTACCTGCATCCCAGTTGTTCACTGTATTCCTAAATTCCCTTGATGTCTTGACGTCTCCATAACACAGTAAGAGAACAAGAAAAGCTGAACTAAGCATATCATCGGGAGCTGTAAAAACGTCTGAGGTAATATAAATTAGGAGGCTAGTCAACTGTCAGTTTCCTGTCTTGATGCAAAAGGTAGAACTTATGTAGTCTATGGTGATTTGTGATCATAAATTCATTGTTTAAGTAATTGTTGATTAACTGAATTTAAAAGGCTTAATCTAATAATTGGTTTAAGTAGAACTTTAGGATAAAAGGTTAAAAATGCCGACGGATATGGGTATTGAAGAGATCAATTTCCTAAGATCTTCATTTGTTTATTGTTTGTGCAGAAAGGGGGTGTACAATTTGGTTATCAGTCACATCTTGATGTACCCTCTCTCGATTCCCTACAGTTGAACTCGTGAGGGAATATGATGGTATAGTGTGCCAACTAGACATCGGACAAATAACAAGCTCATACCGCTGACTATGATCTGAATTACTTTTCCTAAAAAATGAAACACAGTAAGTTGGCTAGACATACGGCACACATTTATAACAGATAGCTGTCGATCTAAGTTACCCAACAGAATCGTATGCTCATTCAAATAATCCATTGCATATGCATGCGAGAAGCTCGTGTACTATTACCAATATTTGACATTTGACGCTACAGCATTGCATAATATAACATATACAATTTCTCTAGAATATCATTCACATTTTATTATAGTTCATGATGAATCAGTGAAGTGATTTTCCTTAACATGTATTCTATTTGTGTTTGAATGCTTTTCCTTATTTGTTTTAATGCATCACTTATGTAAAAAAAATCGATGACCTCACTCAAGGTCACATCCAAACATATTTCATATGCTCTGGTGGGGATGGATACAATATTTTCCAATTTTACTGTTCAGTCTTTTTGTCGGTGATCGTATTAAAGCATTTGTTTATGGACATCATTTGATTGGTGGATTTATTATGAAATACGATGCGATTTTATTTAAACAACAACCACAATAAATCACTTTTTGATGCTGCCACTTTCTTTTGTCCTATTGTTGTTCAATTGAAATAAAAAATAACACTTCATGAAGATTGTTTTAAAACCAATAACTATTTTACACATGGGGTTTTGTTTTTTTCAACTGGTTCAAAAGTTGACAAAGACAGTTCGAGTAGTATCAAGTGGTTGATGTTAGTTAGCTGGAAGTAGTAGTAGTAGTAGTAGTGTTTGAGCGAAAGGAAATTAGGTCATAATGAAAATTTATAAAACGTGGTAGTTTCACTTATCATTGTAAACAAATGTTATTGACAAAAGTTCCGAACTTTTAAAGTGTTAGGATATTCATCCAATATCCTAAGAGAATTATTGGTCAGTTCCTATTGGTTAATTCCTACTGGTCAATTTTATGGTCGTCCTAGATATCAATGTCTCGTGCTCCAATGTCGTTTCTTATTGGTCGTTCTGACTATCAGTGTCACTTCAAATGTGTTTTCCTATTAGTCGTCTTTACTGCCAATGTCACAGACTTCGATTCTGTTTCCCATGCGATCTAATTGTATAAATACGTATTATCTGTAACGTTTTATCACCCGGACCTGCATCCTCAGTCTGGGATTCTCATTCTCTTCTGGACTCAGACCTTGTACTTTCTGGATGCTTGTAGAATACAGGTTCTATTTCATATCAAGTCTTCTTCTTTTACTCAATGGGGGTTTGGGACAATCGGATTAGAGTAGCCTGTCGTGTCGCCAGATCCTCGATCCTCGCTCTCGTTTTCCGACTAAGGTAAACTCGTATTAGTTCAAACATATCAAAATGACATGTAGACGTGTATGCGTAACAGAAAGAAACGTCTAGCTAGTGCTGATGCCAATCAGCGTAAGGTAATTGAAGTTCATGTGAATCGAGAAACATTTCAGTTGGGAATTAAAGTCTTGACGAGCTTTTGACGTGAAATCCAGTTTGTGCTGCAAAAAAATAAATCTAAAAGTAAGTAGATTTTATCTTTCTGAATTTTTGAAGGGATTTCTTGCAGAGTTGATTAAGTTTACACAAAAAATTCAGGATGTGAAAGGTCAAAAATTCATTATGACCAAAAAACATGACAATTTAACTTACCTAACACTTAGAGGACGTTAACACCTTTACATATTTGGGCAGCATCATCGACAATCAAGGTGGATCGGATGCAGATGTGAGAGCGCGGATTGGCAAAGCAAGGGCTGCATTTCTACAGTTGAAAAATATCTGCAAATCCAAACAACTTTCAACCAAAACCGAAATCACGATTTTCAATACAAATGTCAAGACAGTTCTACTGTATGGAGCGGAAACTTGGAGAACTACGAAAGCCACCATCCAGAAGATACAAGTGTTTATTAACAGTTGTCTATGCAAAATACTTCGTATTCGTTGGCCAGACACCATCAGCAACAACATACTGTGGGCGAGAACAAATCAGATTCCAGTGGAGGAGGAAATCAGGAAGAAGTGGTGGAGTTGGTGGATAGGACACACTACGAAAAGCACCTAACTGCGTTACAAGACAAGCCCTCACATGGAAACCTCAAGGAAAAGGAAAATAGGAAGGCCAAAGAACACATTTCGCTGAGAAACAGAGAAAGATATGAGAGGAATGAACAAACATTGGACAGAACTGGAGAGTGAAGCCTAGGACAGAGTTGGTTGGAGAAAACTGGTGAGCGGCCTATGCTCCATTGTTGGGTAACAGGCGTAAGTAAGTAAGTAAGTAACACCTATAACTTACGTGTAAAGCATGCGTGACTAAACTATGTATAACCTTATTCTCTATACGTTACTGGTGTAAATCGTTCCAGTAATTTGCGAATAAAGTTCCCCGTAAATATGTTCTTTACAGTTTTGCTAATAAATATTCTAATGTAAACTGTTATATTTTCAATTATAGTTATACAGATCAGTGTATTTTTACACATTGAACTCATCAATCACTAGTGACTAGCTTCGTTGATAAAATTCTCAAAATTCTGGTGAGAAGACATGACCCGGTGGAGTTCAACCGTGTCGGATGTGTAGGCATTTACTACCGTAGACAAATGTATTGATCAGAGTTAGATATTAACACCGTTGGATGCCAGCCCAGTGGTCCAAATTTTAGGCGTTCGCCCTCAATACCGAAGGTCGTGGGTTCGAATCCCTCGAGTAGTAGGAGT